GGGGGGGTGTCAACTGGAAAAAAATGCCACCCCAGTTGTCATCCTATTTTTAGGCTATTTGATCTTTTTTAACGTTCTGTGCACTGTAAAAACTTAAGGACATCACAACAGAGATTGGATTTCTGTCTTCGCTCACCAATTTAGAATTTGCACAGACCTGGAGTTTCAAATGGTTTTACCAGTCAAACCAGCCGGTAAGTTTCACCAGCAGAGATGGTTTCAAGACTCCTCAACCCCCAAAGTGAAGTGTAACCTGACAAAAGCTACACTAAATTTGACAACRCCTGATATTCTCATGCCACATCTTTGTCACCATAAGGAAAAAAATATGTCAAATTTGCCAATGAGGGAATAAAAGAGTTGAAAACAAGAAAACTCGGTGACCCCCCTGAAGTTACTCCACTCATTCATGACTACTTCTCACTCACTTCCTCTCTCCTCCTCTTCGTTACACCCCTTCAAGCTTACATCATGGCACCAGTCATATTACTACTAAACTCACACGCCTGTGCAGTTGGTCACGTCTCACTTAAAGCCGGGTTGATTCAGAACCGGGACACCAGAACTCTCTTTTCTCAAAATGACTGAAAGCTTTTCATCACTTCCCTGGACAAACTTATTTACTCACTGGTGTTATGATGGAAGGAGGCAACTCATCTCAAGTCAGTGACCTCTAAAACCCCACATGTGGGCCTCCCCATGCCTCATCTGTCTCACACATCATCATCATCATCATCATCATCATCATCATCATCATCATCATCATCATCATCATCATCATCACTTCATCACTTCATCAGCAGCAGCACCGGCAGGTTAAAGTCAACACTCACCTTTTTAACCTGATCATCCTTCAGCTCAGTGAAGTAATAGGCGAGTAGCTGGGCTGCGATCATTCTGGTCCTTGGTCCCTCTCACACACTCATGCAGCGCACACGCACACGCACGCACACTCACACTCCTTCACGTAACGATGCGGGGGGAAAAAAAACCTCCAAACTTCAGAAATAAAAAAAAAAGTTTTAAAAAATCATTCAAAAAATAAACAACTAATAGCTCTTAGACTTATTTTGTGCGGATAAAACGCATAAGTATAATCTTAAGTCCAGTCCCGGCGTAAGACTTTTCTCTTTCTCGGCGCGTGAGAGTGAAGCCAGGAAGCACGAGTGAGTGAGACAGCAAGAAGAAGAGAACGAGGGGGCTGGCCCCGCCCACTTTCAGTAAGCTCATTGGGTTTGTGTGGTGATGGGAGGGGGAGGAGAAGAAGAGGGGGAGGGCTGGTGCCACATCCTCTCCGCTGTCATTGGCTGGAGTCGAAACTAGTGATGGAGGAGGAAAAGGCGGGTGGGGAGCAAAGGG